CCTTAATGCTGACATACAACACATGCCTTAATGCTGACATACAACACATGCCTTAATGCTGACATACAACACATGCCTTAATGCTGACATACAACACATGCCTTAGTGCTGACATACAACACATGCCTTAATGCTGACATACAACACATGCCTTAATGCTGGCATACAACACATGCCTTAATGCTGACATTCAAGGTATGCCTTAATGCTGACATACAACACATGCCTTAATGCTGACATACAACACATGCCTTAATGCTGACACACAAGGCATGCCTTAATGCTGACATACAACACATGCCTTAATGCTGACATACAAGGCATGCCTTAATGCTGACATACAAGGCATACCTTAATGCTGACATACAAGGCAAGCCTTAATGCTGACATACAACACATGCCTTAATGCTGACATACAAGGCATGCCTTAATGCTGACATACAAGGTATGCCTTAATGCTGACATACAAGGCAAGCCTTAATGCTGACATACAAGGCATACCTTAATGCTGACATACAACACATGCCTTAATGCTGACATACAAGGCATACCTTAATGCTGACATACAACACATGCCTTAATGCTGACATACAAGGCATGCCTTAATGCTGACATACAACACATGCCTTAATGCTGACATACAAGGCAAGCCTTAATGCTGACATACAACACATGCCTTAATGCTGACATACAAGGTATGCCTTAATGCTGACATACAAGGTATGCCTTAATGCTGACATACAAGGTATGCCTTAATGCTGACATACAAGGTATGCCTTAATGCTGACATACAAGGTATGCCTTAATGCTGACATACAAGGTATGCCTTAATGCTGACATACAAGGCAAGCCTTAATGCTGACATACAAGGCATGCCTTAATGCTGACATACAACACATGCCTTAATGCTGACATACAAGGCAAGCCTTAATGCTGACATACAACACATGCCTTAATGCTGACATACAAGGTATGCCCTAATGCTGACATACAAGGTATGCCTTAATGCTGACATACAAGGTATGCCTTAATGCTGACATACAAGGTATGCCTTAATGCTGACATACAAGGTATGCCTTAATGCTGACATACAAGGTATGCCTTAATGCTGACATACAAGGTATGCCTTAATGCTGACATACAAGGCAAGCCTTAATGCTGACATACAAGGCATGCCTTAATGCTGACATACAACACATGCCTTAATGCTGACATACAAGGCAAGCCTTAATGCTGACATACAACACATGCCTTAATGCTGACATACAAGGTATGCCCTAATGCTGACATACAAGGTATGCCTTAATGCTGACATACAAGGTATGCCTTAATGCTGACATACAAGGTATGCCTTAATGCTGACATACAAGGTATGCCTTAATGCTGACATACAACACATGCCTTAATGCTGACATACAACACATGCCTTAATGCTGACATACAAGGCATGCCTTAATGCTGACATACAACACATGCCTTAATGCTGACATACAACACATGCCTTAATGCTGACATACAACACATGCCTTAATGCTGACATACAACACATGCCTTAATGCTGACACACAACACATGCTTTAATGCTGACATACAACACATGCCTTAATGCTGACATACAACACATGCCTTAATGCTGACATACAACACATGCCTTAATGCTGACATACAAGGCATACATACCTTAATGCTGACATACAAGGCATGCTTTAATGCTGACATACAAGGTATGCCTTAATGCTGACATACAAGGTATGCCTTAATGCTGACATACAAGGTATGCCTTAATGCTGACATACAAGGTATGCCTTAACGCTGACATACAAGGTATGCCTTAATGCTGACATACAAGGTATGCCTTAATGCTGATATACAAGGTATGCCTTAATGCTGACATACAAGGTATGCCTTAATGCTGACATACAAGGTATGCCTTAATGCTGACGTACAAGGCATATAAAATTAAAACAGAGGGATGAAGAGTGTAGGGGAATGGAGAACAAAATCCAAAGACAAGGTGCAACAGCACAATGGGTCGGTCAAGGTGACCAGAAGAGCCAGAGCCATAACCATTTACCTCCCTTGACATCTAAAGCATTATAAGAGGAAGTGAATAAGGATAAGAAGAAGAAGATGAGGAAGAAGGAGAAGAAGTGAGGAGCAGTAGGAGGAGGAGGAGGAGGAAAAAGTGGAAGAAGAAGGAAGGAAGAAGGAGGAGGAGGAGGACAAGAAAAAGAAAGAGAAGATGAAGAAGAATGAAAAGAAGAAGCTAGATGAGGAAAAGCTGCAGGTAGAGGAGGAGATGCTGGAACTTACATGTTGAAGTTGTAGTCGCCAGGATAGTTTGTGTGCAGTACAAACTTCTTCACACGATGAGTCACAGCATCAAAGAGGAAGTCCTGTGGAGAGCATCTCCAGTAAATTATCACAGGTAACACGAATGATTAATTAACATTAAAACATACAGAAGAACTTGAAAAACAGGTATTACAAATTACTGAATAACAGGTAACATCAATGACTTAACAGGTAACACCAAATGGATGATAGGCACGGTCAGTGTTTTTACTCGTGGCCCCCAGGTCAATCCAGCCAAATATGGGCACCCTGTAAGTTTTGGGAAGTAAAGGTAGCTGGCGTGGTAATGACCACATCACACACTCAGTGTCCTGGTCTACAAATATATGTCTAGTGCAAAATACCCAATAGGAATGAAAGTGTGGAAAAAGGCTTTAAAAATAAATAAATACTTATCTAACTGGGAAGCACTGGTCAAGAGAAACTTACCACTCCCAGTGTGAAGTAATTGAAAAAGTAGTCGGCACTGCTAGATCGAATGTGTCTGTGTGCATCAGGCAGGTGGATCTTCATCTTGTCTTCAGACTTGTAAAACTTCCGGCTGGGGCAGCCTAAGGCACTCACAACATCCTGAGCAAGAAGAGAGATGGCCGTCACTGTCGGTATAAGCTCTTTACTTGGCAGTCATGCTATTATCACCCCTATATTTGCCAGTCATGCTATTATCACCCCTATATTTGCCAGTCATGCTATTATCACCCCTTATTTGCCAGTCATGCTATTATCACCCCTATATTTGCCAGTCATGCTATTATCACCCTATATTTGCCAGTCATGCTATTATCACCCCTATATTTGCCAGTCATGCTATTATCACCCCTATATTTGCCAGTCATGCTATTATCACCCCTATATTTGCCAGTCATGCTATTATCACCCCTATATTTGCCAGTCATGCTATTATCACCCCTATATTTGCCAGTCATGCTATTATCACCCCTATATTTGCCAGTCATGCTATTATCACCCCTATATTTGCCAGTCATGCTATTATCACCCCTATATTTGCCAGTCATGCTATTATCACCCCTATATTTGCCAGTCATGCTATTATCACCCCTATATTTGCCAGTCATGCTATTATCACCCCTATATTTGCCAGTCATGCTATTATCACCCCTATATTTGCCAGTCATGCTATTATCACCCCTTATTTGCCAGTCATGCTATTATCACCCCTTATTTGCCAGTCATGCTATTATCACCCCTATATTTGCCAGTCATGCTATTATCACCCCTTATTTGCCAGTCATGCTATTATCACCCCTATATTTGCCAGTCATGCTATTATCACCCCTTATTTGCCAGTCATGCTATTATCACCCCTATATTTGCCAGTCATGCTATTATCACCCCTTATTTGCCATTTATGCTATTATCACCCCTTATTTGCCAGTCATGCTATTATCACCCCTTATTTGCCAGTCATGCTATTATCACCCCTTATTTCCCAGTCATGCTATTATCACCCCTTATTTGCCAGTCATGCTATTATCACCCCTTATTTCCCAGTCATGCTATTATCACCCCTTATTTGCCAGTCATGCTATTATCACCCCTTATTTCCCAGTCATGCTATTATCACCCCTTATTTCCCAGTCATGCTATTATCACCCCTTATTTGCCAGTCATGCTATTATCACCCCTTATTTGCCAGTCATGCTATTATCACCCCTTATTTCCCAGTCATGCTATTATCACCCCTTATTTGCCAGTCGTGCTATTATCACTCCTTATTTGCCAGTCATGCTATTATCACCCCTAATTTCCCAGTCATGCTATTATCACCCCTTATTTCCCAGTCGTGCTATTATCATCCCCTTATTTGCCAGTCATGACATTATCACCCCTTAATTCCCAGTCATGCTATTATCACCCCTAATTTCCCAGTCATGCTATTATCACCCCTTATTTCCCAGTCATGCTATTATCATCCCCTTATTTGCCAGTCATGACATTATCACCCCTATATTTGCCAGTCATGTCATTATTACCCCTCTACTTCCATCATGTCATTATCACCCCTTATTTCCCAGTCATGCTATTATCATCCCCTTATTTGCCAGTCATGACATTATCACCCCTATATTTGCCAGTCATACCATTATCACCCCTCTACTTCCATCACGTCATTATCACCCCTCTACTTCCATCATGTCATTATCACCCCTCTACTTCCATCATGTCATTTCTGCAACTGCTGATCTATTGGTGACTTCTGCTACCATCAATGATGAATTGCATTTCTAATGTTGGACTGTTTGTTTTAGCACTTCTGATGGCTACCGTATGCTTTTAATGCGTGTGTATGCTAGTGCATATGCTGAGACAGCAGTCTGTCAATCTTTCCACAAGGGACTGTGATGAACATTCTGTGTGTTTCTCGTTGGCATAGGAGCGGAGCAACTATGGGGTGACCCGTTTGCTATGAAGCTGAAACTAAGATTACAAGTGGATGATGGTAATAATGATGCTTTCCTGAATATAATGGTATAAAAGAAGCCTTAAACATTCAATCCATTTTTACAGGATCTATAATTTTAGCAATCAGAACTCCGCCACAATGAAGGTTAGCGGCAATCATTTCCATTTCCTTATGTCCCTAAACTGGATGTAAACTCTATCCCACAGCACACAAGATTAGGGAGTCTAGTGGCCAAGTGGTTTAACCGTTTTCTGCAAAAAACAGCAAATGACAAATAGAAATATCTAGATAACTTGGCCCTATGGATGGGGTCAGGGGTCAGTGTTCTGATCTGTGATTCTACTGATCATGTGAGTGGTGAAACATGACTGCCTACTTGTATTGGCAAGATGATGATGATGAAAGGCAGCCTGCTTCTGACCTTATCATTGTCATCAAGTGCCTGGCACAGGCAATCATGCCTCTCCCCAATCCGTGACCTCCAACAGCATGTGTCAGTTACTGTGCTGACACTCCCCCCAATATGACAAGAATCTTCTCAAGCTGTTTTCCCTTCTGCCTCCTTTTCCACAGATCTTTCCAGTGGTCACAAAATCTTCCGGTTTCCTTCTTCTCATAATATAAACAAAAACTGACCTACCTGCACGGAATCGCCAAATCTGACAATCCTCTCCACAGACTTCTTGCGGGGATCCACTAGTTTACCCTGTATGTTCCCTGGGGAAGCAGAAACACACTCTCAACATCTTGATTACTGCAGCATCAAGATCTACCAGTATTATTTAACCCTGTTGTCGCAAGAAGAAGGACTAAATCTAGTCACTTGTGGTTGTGACACAGACCCAGAAATGCTGATATATCAGCATTAAGTCCAGTGACCTGTTCTCAAAAGCATAGTTAAATTCCACTTGCTCAATGTGTGCTTTCACAGTATTTAATAGGCAAGGATATGAAAAAAGTAACTAAAAAAAACGCATTTAGAGAGGTTTTATGACCCTAATGGCTTATTTTTTAAAGGTAACTTGATATTAAATTTTCCCATAAGCCAGGGATAGAGGTCACATGTCATGACAGTCATCCGATATATGCTGTTTGGGGAATATATTCCAAGTATGCTTCACTCTGTTAATATTTACTTATTACACTCTTCACGTATTTAAAAGAAACAAGTTTAAAATGCCGATATATTTTCCAAAAATTAAAAATTGCCTGTGTAAAATGGTTCTTAAATAAAGTAATTTTTCCAGGGATTGACAAGGGTTCCTTGCCCATTTCTGTTCAGCATTTGTGGATTTGCCAAGGTTAGGCTATTGCTATTTCAGTCCTCTCTTGCGACTAGATACAGCTGTTGTCTCTGACGGCTCCCTTCCATCTTTCAAGATGACACTGCTACACTGTGCTAGGAGGAGACATGGGAATCACACCCCATGGCGATGACAAGCGTGCTTAGCAACAAGACCCACCTGGGTTCAGATAAGTCTTCCATAAACAGAGCATAGGGATTTCAGGACCAGTGTTACCCTCACATGTATTTAACATATCTTCTGAGGTGCTCAGAATTGTCTCTTGGATGGGATTTGTCCCAATTTGAGCCTAGGTCCACCTGGGAGCCAATGTAATTTTTAATGCTTGCCTTGATCCTAGTTCTATTTTCCTCATAAAAGCATCCTGTATCTGGTTGTTTTGTATAATTTCAAATTTCTGCTAAGCAGTCTGCTCTTTCATTTCCCTTAACTCTTTCAGGGCCAAGGAACACATCATACGATCACAGATTCCTCTCTAGAAGCCCAGTGAACGCAAGATGCACTGATTTTACATCTCTCTTCACTACCCCTTGAGTCCCTGATGCTGAACCTCCTGGGTTGAAAGAGTTAATGTTGCAACAGGCTAGTGTAAAAGACAATCGACTTGATCACTTTGCCACAAAGAATGTTAGTTCAATGTTAACATATGCCAACGGAAGTTTGGGAGCCAATAAAGACGGGGAACAGAAGTAGAAAGCATTCTGAAACAAACGCCTGAGGAAAGTTCTTCCACGATTCTAACCCCTAATAGAGCAGCTCTCGCTATTGCATGCAGCTCTGCCCAAGTCCTCCCCATCTTTTTAACTTCACTCTCTAGCTCCTTTCTCCGTGCCTTTTTAGTCTTTCTATATTTCTACCCCCTGTGGGTTCCAGTGCAAAGACATTCTAGTTATACCGTTCTCAAGTTCTCTCATTTAACATTCAATAAACATTAAACATTCAGGTTTTCCCAACACATGTCCTGTCAAACACCAGCTTCCTTTCTTCACCTCTAGGTCCACTTGAACTTTGTTTAGTTCTCTCTCCTAAAGCTCTACATTAGTGATTCTATCATTCCATTGTATTCCCTCTATTCTGTGCAGGCATCAGTTAATGAATGTTTGTAGTTTATTTTTAAATGCCTTAGTTATTCTTCATGTTTCTGCTTCACACAACAGTACTTCTTCTCCTATTCTTCTTCTTTGCGTTCACCAGCTGTACACTCTGGCGGAAAGTTCTGGTTGCTCATCCACTAGTGAACTGCAGTCCTGCTCCGGAACCTGAGTGTTGCATGTGCATCAGTTTTACAAATCTCATTCTCTTGAATACACTGTTGGTTCCTTGCAGATGCACTGGGACATTTGCTGCTGGAGATGGGGACGGAGCGCTTATGGGGGTTCCTGAGTCCTGTGATGTCGACTCTTAATTCAACATTTTGAGGAAACTAATGAATACTGAATAGGATGAATTCTAGAAAGATGAAGAAATCAGAGAAATGTCTGGACAGGTGCCGGCATCAACAGTTACAAGTGACACAAGATGGGGCTATACTGGGCACATCCTTAGGGAAGATGTGGACAAAGAATCACCCAACAGGCACCTTAATGGGAAACTAAAGGACTGAGCCAATGAGGACATCCACCAGAAACCTTCAGACAAATGCTGAAGAGTTGGGTCTTGAACTGACATCACAGCACTCAGGGCATTCCCATGCATGCTCCGTCCTGATCTTCAGCAGCCAGCGCAGAGTTCCCATACTGAGGGTACAGGTCACAATCTGGTCATATGTCCGTCTTGCCTTTCCTCTAAGTGAAGTCAGCCTGCCAGACCCTCTGGTTACATCAGATGCACAAATGCTGATGAGAGAGATTGAAGCTACTTGACTGGATTCCATCCATGATATTGAAAAACTGCATGGTATACAACAGAATAGAAAGGAAGAACAAACTGCATTTGAGAAAGGTGGAGACAGGCATGCGTTGTGCAGAGTGGCAAAAATCACTTCAGAGGTCCCCGGGTAGTCAGCATTCTTTGGATATTGTCTACAGGTTATGCCAGTGTGTTGGGAAATGAGCAGGCAGATCGACTGGCTGGCTCTGCTCCACTTGGTGTTGAAATGAGGGAGTGAACAGCGGAGGCGCAGACAGATCATTACGGTCTAACGAGAATGGCTCTGCGAGGAGTTATCAGGGGATCTAGCCAACGCTCAACACTCAGGGGAAGGATGAGGAGACAGATATACAATTAGACAGTTACTAGTACCATCGGAATTGGAACTCTTCGATTTCTGCTGAAGATGGGGACTGAGCACTTATGGGAGTTTCCCGAGTGATGTGATGTCAATTCTTAATTCAACGTTCAGCCATATTTAGCATATAAACTGAACAATACTGATGATGATGTTGTGACAACGATGCTCTTCTTAATAATGACAATTTGTATGATAATGATGACGATATCAACGACAATGATCAGAAATATACCCACATTAGCTGACATCAATTTAACTCACCCTCGGTTACCAGCAAAAATTTCAAGCCGGACGTGACATTGTTGTCTCGTAAAACTTCAAGACATTCCAGGAAACAGTTGCCATAGAAACAGGAGACTGGAAGTGCTGGAGCCCTGAAAGACAGAAATAATGCAGACAGATTTTGGGACATGAGACAGACTAATGCTGGCTTTTTGACTTTTTCACTTTGAAAATAAAAAAAAAACGAAACAAACAAAAAAGATAAGATAGTCAACCTCAAGTCAAAATCTTTAGCAAAAACTGACAGCATGCTGTATAAGCTACACTGTGATTGCACTGGAGCTCACAGACCATAGAAATAGAGGGACGCTAAATATATTAAGAGAGGCTGAAGAATGAGAGAGGGTAGAATAAACTGAGATAAGCTAAAGAAATAGAGAGGGGCTAATTGAATTTAGATAGGTTAAAGAAATGGGGGATGTGGGGAGGGGGGGGGGATAAACAGAGAGAAGGTCTAAATAAATTGAGACAGGCTAAAGGACTGTGAGGAGCTTAAGAAATGGATATATAAAAAACACACAGAGAAGATACAATAGAGGTGTAAAAGACGGGGAGCAGATAGGGTAAGAAGCATGTGTAGGCAAAGGAGTAATGAACTCACTAAGAGTGCAAGGCAAATGGCTTGACCACTTTGCTTCCAAATAAAACCCAGCTTTATAGCTTAAAAAAAAAAACCAGAAGTAAATCTTCCTCTTATTTAGTCTTGTTCAGACCATTTTACAAATCTCTCTTATCTTATCTGTATGTAGACTGTTGGTTTCTCACCTCTCAGGCAAAGACAATCTGACTTTGAAAGAAAAACCCCTAATTAGTCACATTCTGCAATTAATTACCCTAAAATGGGGTGCGGAACCCACATGGAAAAAAACAATAAGAAGTAAATAACTTTATGTCTTTAGCCACTCTGGAGATATGATGCAAGTGCCAGATTTCTGTAGACCTATCAGCAATCGGTGAATGATGTGGTCAACATCAACCTATCAAGCATGATATCAGAGGCAAGCAGGATGGTCTGTATGAGGCTGGCGACTGTTTCTTGTAGTGATCAAGTTGACAAACTCGTTTGGCATGAGACAGCTAAAGGACTGTGTTACAATGGGAGATGAACAGTAGAAAGAAAGAAATACAAAGAAGAAGAGAAAGCCAAAATGGAGAAAAGGAAGATGAAGAATGAGGAGGAAATGCAGGCAGCAAAAGGAGAAGCAGCAGAAGGAGATCCCACCTACCTGGCATCAACAAGGCTGTTCCCAGCATAAATACACATCCCACCTACCTGGCATCAACAAGGCTGTTCCCAGCATAAATACACATCCCACCTACCTGGCATCAACAAGGCTGTTCCCAGCATAAATACACATTCTGGCCACTAAGGGAGACATCCCGTTGGGGAACTGTAGAGAGCCCAAGCCATGGGCATATTTGGGCTGGCAGAGACAAGTAATAAACAACTGGTTACAGGGGCAAAGATGGTGGGGCAAGGCAGCATATCAAACAAGTACCTTATTAGAAAATCTCCTGCCTGCCTACTGCACAACAACGCACCTGATCTGCTACATCAGCATAAAGCCAACATGAAAATGAATGAAAATTAAGTGAGGCCAGTCTTGAGAGTCCACTGAACTCAGAGTTGCCCGCTCCAGGCATTTCACTAATACTTGCTGTCCTGTTCCAATGATAACACAACAAACTGAAATTCAGACTCCCCAGTTCAGCCATTTTGTGCAAAATAAAACAGTGCATGTGGATAATGATGCTTTCTGACTGTTTATTTGGAAATCTTTTCAGGTTAGGAAGAAAGAGGAGGGGGAAAAGGAGGAAGAAAAAGGAAGAAGATGAAGGAGGAGGAGAATAAGAATCATGAAGGCAGAATCCATTAGTTAACTCACCTCATACTTGGAATTAATTGAGAAATCAAATGAAAGACCTCGGAAATTCAAAACAAATAGCTGCTTTTCTGCAATGTACACTGAAATGTACAGAAACAAAGGGCAACAATTCATTAGTCATGACCTATTTCATTTACTTTCATTTACAATTTTGTCACATTATAGTCACATTCAGATCTGTTCTTAGAAATGAATTCATTCAACACAAGCTATGACTAAGAAGCTCAAGGTGAGGAAAAGGCAAAAATTTGCATATCTGAACATTTCATTCAGCCTTTATTAAAGAGTAATACAACAATAGGAGAATAACAGACACCAGCTCCCAGATAGGACAGTCAAGTGAAGAAATATAAGCTGCAAATCACTGTTCCAATGTAGGACATAATTTTTCATTATTTCAAGGTGATCCTCATCCAAATGGTGGCACTTTGTGTCACCGGATGTTGGTCGCTCGCTGTACAGTCCTGGTGGGGTTGAACAACAAACAACAAGAACTATAAGGAAAATATGAAAAGTGTGACTTGGAAGAGCAGTTAGAAAAAAAACTGAAACAATGGAACAAAAAATAATAAGAACAACAATGACAAGTATAATAAAAACATAAATAATAACAGTCAGATAAAGGTGCGATGAACACTGATTCATGCTGGACTTAAAACAAACATTTACAGATCTGTTCCGTCACACTGGAAATGAAACTGAAGGAGGCAAAAATGGAACTCCGAAGGACAGGAAGATTTGACACATAAAACATGGGGCTAGAAATAATAGAATTTGGGAGATCTGGCTGATAAAATATGTTGAAATATGGTGACTAGAATCAACAAATCTGTGAAAAGTTGACTCCCTGAGGAACAGAAAAATTGTGTCAACATGTTGTAATAAAATTTTTTAATTTTTTTAAATTAAAGGCTTAGTGATAACTCACAAAAAGAACCTTTTATTAATACAAATTGCCAACTGCTCTTTAAATGCCTAAAATTAGAAGATTCTATCTTCATCCAGACAGCAGAAGGTGTTACGTGTACCTGGTGTAGTCATTACGAGTGCCTCAATAACTTCTTTGAAAGCTGAATGGGGTATCTGGGGTTTGTCCTGTTGGTTTGGTATCCAAATTGAGATTTTTGAATCTCAGGACAATTAATTGATCAATCAGCATGTCCTTTACAGAACATGGCTCTCTTCCCAGCATGCCTGAAAGTCTCTGTCTCTCTCTAGCTAATTCTCCAGGCCTGTACACTTTCACAGCCATTGCATCTTCAATTTCCTGTGTCCACTTCGCAGAGGTCAGCCTCTACCTGGTTTTTGGGAAATTGTCCCCTCCACCACCGTTAGGGTTTTCAAACCTTCAAGTAAAATGGAAGGAATGAAAGAAAAGAAGAATCCATACAAAATATGTTGAAGTTTAACGGCAGAAATAACCGAATTTTGGGGAAAAGTAAAAATCTTGTGAAAGATGGAACCTGAAACCAAAAATACAACATACAGTAAACAAGGCAAATGGCTCAACCATTTCCTTACACAGTACCACCAGATGTTTTTATTTCCACAGCTTCATCATGACTGCTGGCAAGATGAAAGAGAACAGACCAATCCTGCAGTGAGTTTGTATGAAGACGGGCAAACAATGGCAAGAAGTGTCCCATCTTATCTCTTCTTATTCTGAGTTTGCCTTTAAAAAGGCAGTTGGCTTGTTTACAGCTAGAATGTAATATATGCGACCTTTGACCCAACAACACATCCAATTTCATCATGTTAATGACAACAGCCCCCCCCCCCCCCCCCCCTTTTTTTTCCAATCAAATGTGAAGTCATCTATCTCTTCAATGCCATGGGTTTTGGCCTCAGGTGCAGTTTAACCACATGCTATGTCAGAGATATTACACATGATACAAACTGCAATAAAACTGTCATTGGTTTTTTTAAACCAATAGTTTATTTAAAAACTTTTCACAGTTACTAATGAAAATCAAAACACTGGCATCAATGGACCAGCATGTCAACACGTGATCTCTTCTTCTTCCCTTCCTCCAGTATCATTGGGGATTGGGGGGGGGGGGAAGGGGGAATAATCAAATATTATGTGTGCTCTTTCTAATTTCCTGTTAAAGTTAGACCTTAATTTCTTTAGTATTGTTCATTATGGTGTCATTCCCTCTTTTGCGAGGTTTTTCCCTTGCTCTGTGTCCATTATATTTCTTCAATGTGGCTCTCTGTGGCAGTTGGTACTAGGGCATTCTCGTCAGATGGCCAAACCATCTCACCTGTTGCAGAATTTTATAACTGGTTTCAGTCATCATCTTCTTCTAATTTCATCATCCTTGATCTGGTCTTTTCTTCTAGCTTTTCTAGCAGCTCCTCTCTGCTGTTATGATTTGTGGCTCATTTAATGTACTCCCTGCTCTAATCAAATCAGGTGAGAGCATGAAGACAACACAAACACTAGAGTTCGCTACGGCGTGAAACAAGGACTCACCTCCTGGATGTGTGGCACCAAACGACTGGTCAATCTGCTCAATGGTTGGTCGAATTTGTGGGGAGTTAAAGTGCACGCCACTATTTGGGAATAGAAACAAGAGAGTCATTACTTACGTTTACTGAAGACATTAAAACATCCACTTCCAGTGTGGGTTCCAATGCCTCCATTTTGCGGAGGTGGGGAGGGCTAGACCAAGGACCCCACCCTCCATCATAAACATGCAGTAAAAGAGGACTAATTAGGGGTTTGCTTAAATCAATTGTGTTATGTGTAGGTGTGTTGGGAAACTAGCAGGCAGATAGACAGGCTGTTCTGCAGTATTTTGTATTAAATTATCACATGACAAGTTGGACGTGGCCAATGCTCTTGATGAGCAAGTGAAAAGTGCAGAGAAAAAAGGTAGATCATTATTGTCTGCATAGAATGATACAACAGTTAGTGGTCAGGGGATCTGGCCAAAAGACAACACTCAGAGGAAAAGCAAGACACTAGTAGTACTGTCGGCATTGCAATTCAGTGCTGGCTGCTGAAGATGAGGACAGAACACTTATGGAAATGTCCCAACAGCTGGGATATTGGTTCTTAATGCAACAAATTTTAGTTCTAATCACAACACAACAAAACTCCTCCATACAGAACATAGAATATATAGGCCACTCATATCCATAGTACCGAGCTAAAGGGTTAAGAACTCATGGTTTCTGGATATTTAAAAAAAAAATATCAATTATTTTCAGACTGACTCATGGCTGTTTGGCTTCTGCCGATGAACCTTTGTCACATTATGCTGTTATGTTTTCACTATCAACTTCATTGCACATTGGGCATTCTGATATAATAGCAGCCACCCCAATCTACCTCTACTGATTTCTCCACAAAGAAGCTAGCTATAATGTCTTTATCTGGCATAAACGAGCTTCACCAGGCTATACTCCCAGGCTACATAAACAGGTCAGCATCTAAGACTCATTACTGTCTACAACTAGTGTCTAGTCTGTACAGTGTTGATGATACCAGCTCTGTCCATACATCCATGAAGTGGGCATTACTTGCCAGTTGGTCTGATAGTTCATTCCTCCTTACTCCACTACACCCAAGTGTGATAGTTCATTCACTACGCCCAAGTGTGATAGTTCATTCCTCCTTACTCCACTACGCCCAAGTGTGTAGACTGAGGCCGTGTAAGAGAAGGAACAGCTAATCCCAGGCCAGCAGGCACTTGTGCTAGCCACTGAACCAAGATAGCTCTTCGTAGGATGCTGTGTTAGTCTATTCTCTGCTCTACAAAATGGAACCCCGGAACCGACACAGCTGACTTGCTTTCAGAAGACAAATGACACAGGTCTTTTTCTGCCTTTCTAGCCACCAATGGAGATTAGGCCCTCAACCAAATCATGCCAAGTCGTTCTATCTCTTGCTATCGTATGCAGCTCTCCCCATGTCCTCCCCATCTTTCTCATTTTATTCTTCATGTGTTTTTTGGCCTTTCTTTATTCCTATGCCCCTGTGGGTTCCAATGCAAAGACATTCTAGTTGTATTGTTCTCCGGTTTTCTCAATGTGTGTCCTATCCAACGCCAGCATCTTTTCTTCACCTCTTGGTAAGTGGCACCGGTGCTGCGAGTTTATCCTGTAGTTAGTCTATCAGGTTGACTTGCTGGCCACTGAGCGAAGAAAGCTCTTTATAGGATGCAGTGTTACCCCCAACCCCCCAAGATCCCTGGTAATACCAAATGTATCTACTTTCAAACACAGTCAACAGTATCATTACCTGGTCTGATTCTTAACATCCAGCTCAAATCTTTCATGTGCCCCGTGTGGGTTCCGGGGCCATATTATAGGGAAAACAAGAACAGACCCACTGCCTGCCCGTGTGTGTTCCGGGGCCCTATTATAGGGAAAACAAGAACAGACCCACTGCCTGCCCGTGTGTGTTCCAGGGCCCTATTATAGGGAAAACAAGAACAGACCCACTGCCTGTCCAAAAGCATGTCGTAAGAGTCCACTAATTGAGAGCTTCCTTCGAAGTCGGAGTGCATCTGTCTGAGAGGCAAGGAACCAACAGTCTGCACACAAATGTGTCAGATCTGTCAAACGGATGCATATGCAACACTCAGGTTCTGGAACAGGACTGCAGTCCAGAAGTGGACGAACAACTAGAACTTTCCACCAGAATTTACAGCTGGTGAACGCAAAGAAGAAGAGGAAATCTTTCAAGTAAACAGAAGAAAACCTTTCTGACGACCCATTGGTACTTCATGAGTGATGTTGTTAACACCATAAAGTCTGCCACCTTTACCTCCCAAGACACTTCCTGGTGACTTCAGACTGGGTTGATTTGGAGGCCCAGGTCTGTGTTTCAGTAGACACTGTTTCAAGGAGAAGTCCACATCTGTGGCTTAGGCACTGTGAACACTGATTGCAATTCCAAGATAACCCTGTTCCACTGTGGCTACAGTCACTGTGTTAATTTTGATAATGTTTCAAGAACATCAGAAAGCAAAGACAAACTACTGAACAAATTGCCTAGCAAACCCAAACAGCCAAAACATGCTGGGGTTGGTTCTGCAACATCCTGTCAAGGATATGCAAGTTGCTTTTCAAGAAGGATCTGAACAAATTCCCAACTTATTTCCATGGTTAGCAGGTAAGATTAAACTTTCAAGTACTGGCTGGGAATAAAACATTCAGTGACACAAGAGGGATGTGGATGTCAAAGTCTTTGAAAAGTGACAACGGTGTCCAGCCAAAGAATAATTTATGTCACTGTCATGAAATTACCCAGGAAGCAGGTCTTTCACTGTCACTGAATTTTTATTATGAATCACTCTCACTCATTTTAACTGTGGCGAGATCACACTAAAGATTCTAAGCAAGCAAATTAGAAATCTCGCTGCTATAAACTCAAGCCAAAGATTCAGGTAGCTCCCTGCTATGAACTCTAGCCAAAGATTCAGGTAGCTCCCTGTTATCAACTCTAGCCAAAGATTCAGGTAGCTCCCTGTTATCAACTCTAGCCAAAGATTCAGGTAGCTCCCTGCTATCAACTCTAGCCAAAGATTCAGGTAGCTCCCTGTTATCAACTCTAGCCAAAGATTCAGGTAGCTCCCTGCTATGAACTCTAGCCAAAGATTCAAGTAGCTTCCTGCTATGAACTCTAGCCAAAGATTCAGGTAGCTCCCTGTTATCAACTCTAGCCAAAGATTCAGGTAGCTCCCTGTTATCAACTCTAGCCAAAGATTCAGGTAGTTCCCTGTTATCAACTCTAGCCAAAGATTCAGGTAGTTCCCTGTTATCAACTCTAGCCAAAGATTCAGGTAGCTCCCTCTGTGAACTCTGTTATTCAAGTACTCTAGAACTCCAAAGATTCAGGTAGCTCCCTGCTGTCCCTGATTTATCAACTCTAGCCAAAGATTCAGTAGTAGTGTCCCTGTCAAAGATTCAAGTAGCTTCCTAGCCAAAGATTCAGGTAGCTCCCTGCTATGAACTCTAGTCAAAGATTCAAGTAGCTTCCTGCTATGAACTCTAGCCAAAGATTAAGGTAGCTCCCTGCTGTGAACTCTAGTCAAAGATTCAAGTAGCTTCCTGCTATGAACTCTAGCCAAAGATTAAGGTAGCTCCATGCTGTGAACTCTAGTCAAAGATTCAAGTAGCTTCCTGCTATCAACTCCAGCCAAAGATTTAGGTATCTCCCTGCTATGAACTCTAGCCATGGGGGATGTGGATGTCAGAGTCTTTGGAAAGTAAAGAGAGAGTCCAGCCAAAGAAAAATGTCTCACTGCCATGAAATTACCCAGGAAGCAGGTCTTTCAGTGTCAATTTTTATTATGAATCACTCTCACTCATTTTAACTGTAGCGAGATCACACATAGATTCCAAGCAAGCAAATTAGATATCTCCCTGCTATGAACTCTAGCCAAAGATTGTAGTATTTCCTTCCTATGAAAACCAAACAATCAGGTCTCATTCTGCTATAAACTCTAATAAAAGAGTCACTCTCTCTCCCTCTCTCTTCCAGGGACTCTAGCCAAGGAAAAGGGTCTCTCCCTGGAATGCACTCTAACCAATGATCTCCTCTCACATCCATGAACTGTAAACCAAGGAACTGCGCCTCTCTCTCTCTCTCTCTGCCTCTTTTTCTCTCTGGGCCTCTTTTTCTCTCTACCACAAACTCAGAAAAACAGATCCCCCCCCCCCCCCCCCCCATCTGCTATGGACTCCTCCATGACTAAACAAGACGTTAAAACCACAGTAACACAACTACTCACCAGTACTTTAACTTGACTTTGCTCATACAATTCACCTCAATGATCTGAATCAGAAACAATTTAAGTCTGTCAAAAACATCATCTATATCTCTTTAAGCTACAGCCGAGAGGCACCATTACAACTCTGCTGCTGCTTCATCATCTTCTTCATGTTCACTGGCTGTCAACTCCAGAGAAAAGTTCTGGGTATTCGTACACTGCTGGACTTTAGCCAGAACTTAAATTATGTGTACACATCCATGTTATAGACCTGGCTGAACTGTATGCAGACTGTTAGTTCTTGCCTCTCAAGCAGATGCACTCTGACTCTGAGCAAAACAGCCCTGATCAGGCACCACCTAGGACATGCTTCAAGTGGGACTGTGAGTGTTTTCTTTGTTCTCCTGAATGCAGTCCTGGAGGCCACACATTTACTACTCAAGAGACAGTTGACTTCTTTCAAGAAGATGTGACACTGTACTTCGTCAACGGGTGTATCGTGTTGCTAGTTTATCATATTGGAAGTCTATCACGTTGCTGAGTCTATCATGGTGCAAGTCTATTATAATGCAAGTCTTTCTTGCTGCGAATCTATCATGTTGTGAGTCTATCATACTGCAAGTCTATCATGCAGCGAGTCTATCATGTTGTGAGTCTATCAAGTGGCAAGTCTTCCATTTTGGAAGTCTATCATGTTGCTGATCTATCCTGTTGCACGTCTATCATGTTGTAAGTTTATCGGTTTATCGTGATGCAAATCTATCATGTTGTGAGTCTATCGTACTGCAAGTCTATCGTGCTGTGAGTCTATCATGCTGTGAGTCTATCATGCTGCAAGTCTATCATTTTGCAAGTCTATCTTGTTGCGGGTCATGGTAGAGGACGTTGATTCACGTTGACATGTAAATTCACAGACAACCTCAGGCTCTCTCTCATGGCTTGCCGGTTGGCCCGCTGGTAACCCCTGCCATATAAGATATATTGTGCTGTAAATGGAGTGTCTGCTAAGACTTTGCACATACAGACTACCCAATCCCAATCTTGCAATACCTTGTTCTTCCAACAAAGATTAAAAACAAATTATAAAGCCCAGTCATTGATGGAAGTATAGGTGACCGGTGTCAGACTGGAGCTTTAAACAAAGAACACGAAAGAAACGTAACTTCAAGTGAAATGAGATGTTTGATGAAGTCGGAGAACAAAACTGGAAGAGGTTGTGTGAGAAATGAAGAGATCAGGAGATCTATTGGAATAATACCCATAAGTTTAAGTCACAGAGAAACAAGGACTGAAATGGTTCAGCCACCTAGTGAGAATGGATCCAGCGATCCCAGCTGTGAAAACAAAAAAAAAAAATGGAGACACCAAGAGTCACTGATAGCATCATGACATACTAAGCAACCGATGGATCTTGCACTCTGATTCGGCTAGCTATCAGCCATTAAACTGCAACGCCTTGCTGCAAAACATTTATTAACAAAAGAAGAAGGGGAATCACCATCACATCACCACTACTTTCTTTTTTTCACTGTGTCCTGAACATGTTAAAAAAAATCACATCATCCCCTTCGACAACCTCACAATTCAATGTCTCCTTCATAATTTATTTTCCATCAACGTATGGCATCGCCCCCCCCCCCCCCCCCCTCCGTAACCCCCTGATATATTTAATACACCCTCCCATTAACTCTAATCGACAAGCTGCGTCTTACCCAACTGAAGATCCCCTCCATCTATACCAGTGCTCCTCAACATTTACACACACATGGCCCATAAAAACAGTCCTTTTCAGGACTATTAGATCACCCCTCCCGATGCAGCAAATATAGTAATATGAAGAAGTCGAAACCAGACGTGAACCCACGTGACAAGAAAAGAAAGATTCTAAACGGCAAGAAACAACGGACTTAATTAAAACCAGGCCCTCAAGGCAGGTTAAAAAGTTTAAACTGTTTGGGTTCTTTTTTTTCCCCGCTTATCAAGCACATGAAAACAGGGGAAACTGTTTTGTAGTCCATCTCACAGTAAATCACAGACAGAATCGTAACCGTTGGGTACCTTGATGTAACTGTTTTAAACGGCGCGGAAAGGGATTAGTGGGGGAGGAGGTGGAATGGGAGTGTAGGGGATTTGTAGCTATTTAACTCCAACCCCTGATGTGCTAATCCTATAGACTGTAATCCTGGAAGCAAAAAGAAAAAAGAAAACAACCTACCCTACCGTCGTCGTGGTGTCGCGGCTAAACGCTCGCCTGGGGATCGGAAGGTTTTGGGTTCGGGTCCTAACGGAGCTGAATATTTTAAAAATAAAACCTTGGCTCCCAGGTCGATCCAGTCTTGATTGGGCATCAGGTGCAGTCCTGGGAAGTAAAGGCGGCCGGCGTGATGCTGACCATATCACCTATCAAGTAGCCATTGGTCTAAAAATATTGGTCTATCCCTGTAAAACCAATACGCCTAAAGGCGCGGAAAATTATCCTTTACGGTATTTACCTCGGTTCTTTTCTGTTAGGCGACCACATCAAGGGAGATTTAGGGAGATTCCATATTATAGGGTGTTAGGATTAGTAGTAATCGCCATTCACTTAACACTAACTCTAACCCTAAGTCGGCTCTGTGGCTAAGTCGATGCCAAAGCTTTGTAATACCGGGGTACCGGGTTCGATCCCATCTGCGGGCCATACGCCTTGCGTTGGTTTCGACAGTGGTATCAGGGAACCGACCACCCAGGAAGCAATGACAAACTACTGGACGTAAATTTGCCTAGTGAAACCACACAACAGCCAGGGGCTGATGGGGTTGGTTCTGCAACGTCCTGTAAAGGATACGCAACTAACCTTCTAACCCTAACCCCTCTATAATATAGGATGTTCCTAAACACGCGTGATGTGGTCGAATAAGAACCCTTACCTACCCTATCCTGTCTCATTACTAGGCAATTAGACAATTGGACGGCCCATCCGCACTTTTCCACGGCCCACAGTGGGCCACGGCCCTCCGTTTGAAGAACACTGATCTGTTCCACACCGCAATCCCCACTCCCCTCCCCTTAAATTATTTTTTTCGAAAATCAGCGGTAGTTAGCAGACGTGGAAAATATTCAACAATCAGTGTACCAATTTCGCGCCATGATCACACACTAGTTATCGTCACCGCTTCTGCCTCTAACAACTGTACCGACATCAACAGGCAATCATACAATTATATATTCATTATCCCTTCCTCGTCGCAAAAATAATGAAATGCAAATAATTTTCAAGTGTCCACTTATCTCGGCTGTTATTGTTTCTTTCTCTGGTTTCCCCCCGTTTTGGGGGGGAAGTAACCTGCGGGGAGGGGGGAAGGGCTGGACGGACAATGTGGGCAGAACTGTGTCAAGGCAAACGTCCTGAGACAATCACGGCGGTGGATTGGAAATTTACTTGAGGGTAACTCGTCTATGAACAGAGGCACGGAAACATGGATGCGCGAACATTCTGAGCGACCCCCCCCCCCACCCCCCCCCCCCCACCACCACCAACCCCATTGTTCCAGCGAGCTGTTAAGGGAGCTATGGCCCCCAAACCCTAGCAAATTCACATGGAGTCAAAGTGACCCCCCCCCCCCCCTCCCTATTTACAGACGTTCTACTAGTAAGTATTTGTTTTTAAATATAGATTATTTAAAATATATTATTATACTTAGTCATTCCTCTTGAGCCTAGGGCAGAGGTCGTAGCTTTCTATGTCTGGCGGTTCGTTGCCACCTGTTTTAGGTCTTGGATCTTCATTAGGCCCATAGTTGAGCCTTCCCTGATGATGGTTCTACGCACGGTCTCCCTTGGTCTTCCCCGTTTTCTTTTCACTTCCGGTGTCCGTATAGGGGCTTGATTGGGAAGTTTTGACTTATCCATACGGCCTCTAGGTGCCATTCGGCAAATTATATTTTTAATAATTGTAATAACTACCCACTTAAACAAGGTTCAAAACCCAGTGAGGCCCGTACAAAACCATAAGGAAGTTAAACCTTCCTCTCCCATCGCTTTGTTTATATCGGTTCCCGTGTCTACAAGATGCAGTTAACCGGAGCAAACTTGTGGAGAGAGCGTACATCTGGTACACCGGTCCCTGTCTGTTTGTGCTTAGGGCAGTCACTCGTCATATGTAATATCTGGATTGTTTCCCCTCAATAATTGTGAGTAGCACTAAGCGTTTGAGAAGTATTTGCAAGTGTGATTGTGGCTTGTGTGATTGTGGCTTGTGTGATTGTGGCATGTGCGATTATGGCTTGTGCGATTGTGGCATGTGTGATTGTGGCTTGTGTGATTGTGGCATGTGTGATTGTGGCATGGGTGATTATGGCTTGTGCGATTGTGGTTGGGTGTGATTGTGGCTTGTGTGATTATGGCTTGTGTGATTGTGGTTGGGTGTGATTGTGGCATGTGTGGTTGTGGCTTGTGTGATTGTGGCATGTGTGATTGTGATTGTGGCTTGTGTAATTGTGGCATTGTGATTGTCGCATGTGTAATTGTGGCTTGTGTAATTGTGGCTTGGGTGTGACTGTGGAATTGTGATTGTGGCTTGAATGATTGTGGCATATGTGACTGTGGCACATGTGACTGTGACACTGTGTGACTTGCATGTCGGATTGTGGCATGAGTAGCTGTGGTATGTATAATTGTGGCCTGCGTGAGTGTGGTTTGCGTGACTGTCGCCTGTGTGTGGTCGAGACTCGTGTGTATGATGTGTCCAGTCTAGTGTTTACTTTGTGGTGTGTGCTGTGTATGTGGTGCAGCGAGTGTGTACGCTGTGGAGTGAGTGGTGCGATGTATGCGGTGGTGTGCTGTGTACGTTGTGGAGTGTGTGGTGCGATGTATGCTGTGGTGTGCTGTGTACGCTGTGGAGTGTGTGGTGCGATGTATGCTGTGGTGTGCTGTGTACGTTGTGATTGTGTGTTGTGCGATGTATGCTGTGGTGACTTGTACGTTGTGGAGTGTGTGGTGCGATGTATGCTGTGGTGTGCTGTGTACGCTGTGGAGTGTGTGGTGCGATGTATGCTGTGGTGTGCTGTGTACGTTGTGGAGTGTG